TGAGGCTTGTTTACATGTCTTCTCGTTTTGATGGGGTGTGGGGGGGTGCTGTGCTGCTGGTGCCCATGTGGCTCACCTCCTCTGTGCTGGGAGCTGTCACACGCTGACCCAGAAGCCTCCCTCATGCTGGGAGCTGTGGCACATTGACTCAGAAGCCTCCTCTGCACTGGGAGCTGTGGCACGTCTACCCCATTCTGGGAGCTGCGGCACATTGATCTGGTAGCCTCCTCTGTGCTGCGAGCTGTGGCTTGCTGATCCAGAAGCCTCCCCCCATGCTGGGAGCTGTGGCACATTGGCCACCTTTTTCATACTTGTTTTTTTTTAATATCCTTTTATTGGTACATTTCAGGTGTACAGTATAATGACATTCATCATTGGAGATATGCACCTTTACATACTCTCTTGGTTATTATTTTTTCCCCCTTCCCCTGCCCTCCCATCAATCCCTCCATCTCATACTTGTTGATATTATTTGTCTTAGCTCATATTATGGCATATAATGTTTACACTGACTGGAGTTATTAGGATCCTGAACATGGCACACTTTATTTCTCTCATTTCCTCTTCCCCTCCTCCTTAACCCTCATCTTTGTTCCCTTGGGCCACTTCCCTATTGGTCAAGATCGGTCCCCTTGTCCCTTTCCATCTGTCCTTTATCATTTTTTTTGTTTGTACTTTGTCTCGCTCAAATGAGGGAAACCATACAGTATGTAAGCTTGTGTGTCTGGTTTATTTCACTCAGTATTATATTTTCCAGGTGCATCCATTTTCCTACAATGCCCCAAATTTGTCATTCTTTTTTTTTTGGTACCAGGGGTTGAACTTGGGACCTTGTGCTTGTGAGGCAGGTGCCGGAACCACTAAGCTAAATCCCAGGCCCCAGAAATTTGTCATTCTTTGTTTTTGGTACCAGGGATCGAACTCAGGTCCTTGCGCTTGCACAAATTTGTCATTCTTTATAGCATAGTAGTATTTCATTATATATACTTACCATATTTTGTCTATCCAATCATCTGTTGATGGGTATTCAGGCTGCTTCCAGGATTTAGCTATTATGAATTGTGCTGCTATAAACATTGGTATGTACATATTGCTGTAATCTGATGGCTTAAACTTTTTGGGGAATACCTAGCAGAAGAATAGCTGGGTTGTACAGAATTTCTAATTTCTATTATTCGAGAAATCTCCATACTGATTTCCATAATGGTTTTCTAGTATGCATTCCCACCAGCAGTGCAGGAGCATTCCTTCTTTGCCACAGCCTTGCCAGCATTTGTTACTGTTTGATTTCCTAATGATTGCCATCCTTTGTGGAGTAAGATAGAATCTTAGTGCTGTTTTCATTTGCATTTCTCTAGTGGCCAGAGATGTTGAAGATTTTTTCAAATATTTGCTAACCATTTGTATTTCTTCCTGTGTGAAGTATCTGTTCATTTCTCTAGCCCATTTCTTGACTAGCTCTTTAATGTTTTTGAGTTTTTTATATATTTTAGCTATTAGTCCTCTGTGTGAAGAGTAGCTGATAAGACTTTTATTCCCCATCTGTAGGTTTTCCTCTTCTGTCTACTGATTGATTCTTTTGCTGTATAGAAGCTTCTTAGTCGGATAAAGTCCTATTTATTGATTCTTGCTGCTATTTCTTGTGAAATTGAGGTTTTGTTTAGAAAATCCTTTCCTACACCTATGCCTTCAAGTGTTTTACCTATTTTATCTTCCAGAAGATTTAATGTTTCTGTTTTAATATTTAGATCTTTGATCCAGTCAACAAAGTTAAAATAACATCTTTCCAGTTTTTTTAGGCTTTTAAATGATTCTGTTTGCCAAAGCAGAAGGCCTAATTTACAAAAGGAGACTCACCAACTATTGTATCAGAATAAAGATGCTGAATTCATTTATGGAAAGATTAAACTTAAGATTTAAAATATGGTCTCTATAAACCCAGC